ATGTTTTGATTCCAGTATCTAAATACATTAACTTTTTTTGTAATATCTTTGCCATCTTTTGTAAAAACTTTGAGGCTGCTGAAGTATGTTTGTAATGATTTTAACAATTCTACTTGTTCTTCTGAAGCTACAAACGCGTTTCTGCTTGGTTTCTTTCCATTAATACATGATGAATTAAAAATATCAAAAGCAGCATCTAATTTTTCAACATATTCTGATGTATCTTTAGCAGATGCCGGTAAATGTCCAAGTGAAATCATTGAATTAATAGCAGAAGCTACAGAAAAACTTAAGGTTGAGCAGCATATTTTACTTTCATCCGCTGAAAATTATTGGGATAAATGTGTGTGTCCTGAGCCAGTTTAGGTACTAACCTGTTTATGTTTTCTTTATCTATTTCAAATAATTTTTCTATGTATTGCCATGACATAATTTTATCTCCTGATTTAATAACGTTAGTTAATAAATTATTTCTAGCTGCTTTAATAAGATGTGGTGGATCAAAGAAGTAAAATATTTAGTTGCTCATTAACGATATAGTAAGGACTTTCTTCAGTTACACCCAATTTTTTAGCTGCCTTTTGATAATCTGTTCCCATATCTGTGACTTCCGCAATAACTCTTAAATTTATGTTTTGAAGCTTTGTAACACATTCTATAATAATAATTCGTAATTCATCAGCATTCATAGCTGAATGAAGAAAAATAACCAAGTGGTTGCTTAAATTTATTTGTCAAACCTCTAACCATGATTATCGCTGCATTGCATGCTGTTAAGAAACTTTTAGTACAACCTGTATCATGAAATCCAATTACCATATCTCTATTAATCATATAAAATAAACTTGCTTTTAATGACATCGTATCAATGCTTATGCAACAATACTTATCTAATGAATGTAAATTTTCAGTTTTAATCCTAAGTCTTTCAAATATAACATCTTGTAATCCTGGGGAAATTATAAGTCCTTCTATTGTGCGTTCAAGTGTTCTTTTTGACGGTAAAATAAAAGTTTTGCTTAATAATCTATACGCTTTGGGTCCTTTAAAATATAAATTTAAACAGAACATTTTAAAATCTTTTGTATATCTATTACCATTTTTCTTTTTATGTAGAATATCTGCTTGAGTTTTCATGAAATCAGCTATCGATTCTGGATAAAATTTGTAAAGAAGTTTTTGGAAATCGTTGAAAGTAATGTCTTCTATATTCTTTTCTTTCTTATTATATTTCAGTTTTGCACGTTTTGCTCTTTTTTCTGCAGCATCACATTTTCTTCTAAGAGCTACCTTCCTTGGGCTAGAGTTCGATAATTTTAATTCCGTCTGAGTAGTTTTATCATTTTTAGATGTTCGATGATCATTATTTGACATATTAACATTTTCAGTTGAATTTGTGCTCACAACAACATCTAAAATTACAAATAAAAATAAAACATCTTCGAAATAAATCTAATAAAATTTAGATTAATCAAATTTTTTTAAATTGTTTTTTTGATTGTAATATTCTACCTGTCAAATTGGTTGTTGAACACATGGCCACAGCACTAAACATATCTGTTTCTATATCTCCTGTAGAATTTTTAGTTGAAGTTTCTATTAAAATATTTTCTAAAATTTAGTAATAATAATACATTAAATAAACAACAAACAAATGTAAATGTAATAATATACTTAATAATAGAAAATATATTTACTATTGGTTTCACTCTGTATAGTAGTATCTTTTTTATTAGTAATAATAACTGCACTCGGAATTGCATGTGGCTGAAGTCGATTTTTTAAATCATTTAAAAACATATGAGAAGCAAAATGTTTTGAGCAAACTCTATAATTATTGTATAGTTTTTTTGGTGAGATATTCTTCTTTATACCACATGCTTCTAACCACAATTTGGCTCTGAAATATAGTATATTACTGTAATTTTAGAAATAATTAAATATTTATACGTACGTATGAAAAATTGTCGTGAATAATTTACTTTTCTGGATGAGATGGAAAACGAAAAAAGCTTAAATGACAATTTGCACCCGAGTTTTCATTGCAATCATTCATTGCACACATAAAACCACCAACAATTACGCGTTTCATTTTACATAAAATTTTTATAAATCTTTTTAAAACTGAAAATTATCAGTCTTTTATTAATAGAATTGAAATTAATACTTATGTCTATGTTTGATAAACATAACCACATTACTGTGTTGCTCAACTTACGCCATGTTGTCAGTAGTAATGCAACGCATGCGCTGTGATATTTCTTCGACACTATTTCTATCAAGTGACGCTACTGGTTATACATATACTGTGGCGTAGCAGTGGGACGTCCTTCTCACCGCGCGCGCTTTACTCGCGCGGATTCGCCGATCTTTTTTCGTTAATTACTCAGTACTTATTATGAAAATTAAAAAATGGTAAAGGACTTTTCTACTCGATTTGACCTCCTCTACCTGTATATGACCGGTGGGGCGATTATTGCCAGACACCCTGTATATATTTTAATAGTTCGTTATAAAATTCATGAGGTTTGAACATTAAGTAATCGATGTTTTTATGAAAGAACAACCAACTTATAATTCGATAACGCTACTTCTAATGCGCTTGGTTGCATTAGCCGTAGCTGTAACGGCGCACTTGATGAGGAATAAAACACAGGTACTAATGACGAATATAGATACAGATGCTAAATTAATTCGGAACACTTATTTAAAATTATATTCTTTTTTCATAAATATGTCAATTTATAACTATTAATTTGTTTTCCTTCT